AGTAAAAGGGGATAAATTATTCTTATCAAGAATGAATTTTACTTGAATAAGTAAACTTTTTTTAAGCAAGAATAACCGTTTCTTAAAACAAGTAAATGTTCTAGCTTGTATTCTAACTAAGAATTTTGGTATTCTTAAAGCAAGGAAGGCGTCTTTGTGGATTCTTGGCAAGAAACATTGTTAACTTAAAACCGGCAATCAAAAACGCTTGTTGCCAATTCACTTGCCAAGAATACTAATTTCAAACAACCAATTTATTTCAAACAACCAAGAATATTTTTACATTCTTACTAAGTAACATTTAATAACCGAGCAAAGATTCGCAAGTTTCGTTTCATATGCAGACGAAATGAAGGTTTTAATGCGTATTTAAGCATTCTGAATGGACGTAGTTCGTTTCTTATGAAAATATATATTTTAAACTTCGCTAACTGCCAACTGGTGGAAAGAACTGTGGATTATTGTGGATTACTGTGGATAGGATTTACTGGACATTATGTCGCAAAATTTCCTGCAGAAGATTGCGCAGATTGTTTTAAAAGTGGCTGGGAATCTCAGTCTTCTAAGAGGTAAGGATTTAAAATTATACGCGCAAACAGACGAAAGCTATTTTTGAATTTGCCGCGTAAACAGTAAACGTATTTATAAACAATAAACAGATATATTCACAGTTTTAATACTCATCATTCCCGATAAATGAACGACGTTTATATAAATATATTATAACGTGGTTATACTATAGGCACTATGCCATAAAAAGTGTACGTGATATTGACGTTAGCTATAAAACCATGGTCAAATTTTAGCTGAAACATTTGTACTCAATCTTAGGATCATGATATACTGAATCTTGGTTACTGGATATACATAAGTTTTGATTAAGAATTAGGATGAAATAACTGTTTTATTGCCTTTTAAATTTTTTTATATGCATTCTTAGATGGTGGATTAACAAGTGGTGATGTTTATGTCTAAACCTGTAATGAAAGAGGTCTCATTGGAAAGTAATATCTGTGGTAAGTAATGCATTATAAGGAATTGTGCAATGCTGTTAGATTATTCACCTAAGCATATGGCTTAGTTTTTAATGTATAATATAATATACCGGTAATTATATACTTATTGACCAATTGATTATAAACTTATTTATCATGTAATAGATAAAAGGAAAAATCATTGACAGCTTACCAGATGACTACCCTTTATGCCTAATTTTATATCTGTCAGAGCATGCAAAACTGTGCATAGCATCCCCAATCATATATTTCACACATATTATGCACTGCTTAGTTTCTTTAACATTTGTTATCTTAACTCTGATTTCTCAAGTATGCTTGCTTTTTTGTTTTATTAGGAACATGGATTGAGGTAGTGAGCAAGAAATTCAGTGGAAAATTTGCTATACCAATGGTTAATTGGACCCACAGTGTTTCAGCACTTGATTTTCAAAGAAAAAAATACTCCAGGTGATCTTATAAATATTTTCATGTTTGGCATGATATACAAAATTTAAGAACAGCTGGTCAATAATCAAAGGGAAACATTGCTCAGGAATGAATGACTTTAGCTTATGTGTAATAATTGAAGACATGCAGTGAGTTTGCATAGATGTGTTCTTCTTCCATGAATATTTTTATTCAACTACTTCTGGGTTCATACAAGGGCTTAATTTCATTATCTGAGCTCTATCGGATACTTTCCTAAACTTGCCAATTGGCAATTTTTAATTAAGTCCTTGAAAGACTTGTTTATTTGAGCAAGGTATTGCACAAACCTAGCAGTACTTTGAAAAAACTATTTCTGTCAGATGTAAATGTATGGCATTTATATATTTAGTATGGCCACTAAATAAGTAGTTTTAATATTTTGAACTAAAATAATGTATAAGAGTAAGTATCTGTGATGTTTCAAAGCCAGCTAATAAACTTAATTACTAGAAATGTTTTCTTTTGTCAAAAAATTTTGTACTTATTATAAGTAAAATTATTCTTGTTTTAAGTAGTTTTTTTCTTATTTGTAACATTCTAGGTAAGAATTGTGTGAGTAGGTTCCTTAATATACAATAATAATTTTGCTTATTTCAAGCAATGTGTTACTTAAAACGAGTATTTTTTCTTTAGAAAATTCTTGTTGCAAGAATTGTTTTTCTTAAAATGAGATTCCAGGTAAGAATAATATTCTTGCCTGGATTCTTGCTAAGAATAATATTCTTACTATACTGACAAGAACAATTTTACTTGTTTGTATTTTTTTTTTTAAAATAAGACTCACGATTTTGCTGTGTGCATGTATTATATGGATTTGGCTTGATTTACATGAAATTAGGTTATAAATTATACAGGGACTGAAAAGCGTAAACATGCAGTGCTTCCACTTTCAACTCTAGGCCTTTATGTAATGTGATTTATTTACGCATAGATATATTGCCAGGCATGAATTTTGCATACCCTTTCCGCAGCTCAGTTTTCTGAGCATCAATAATGACACATTAAATTTTACGCCGTTTTGGGATAATTTTGGCTAGGAGTAATGGTTTTCGTAGCCGCTTTATTTCTGTTAAACAAAACGATATTTATTAATACATTGCATTAAAATTCCAAATAGTTACTCTCAGAAAAGGGTGGAGGCAAATTACTGCCAGCACCTGTAGATACGGCCTACGACCATCACTAATTGAGATATAACGTTCCTCTCTCTGTATATATCAGCTACGGTAAATCGTCCAATGTACATAATTGTTAGCGGAGGCTTTGGGGAGGAGGTGGGTTCAACTTTAAAGGAGATCTGTCTTTCGCGATGTCACGCTTAAACTGACCGTTTATGGTTTGGGTATTCGGTCTTTGTTAGTTTTCGATTTGCTGCTGGCCATTGACCACCTTTCCCATATTGCGTGCCATCCATTACCTGTCGGTCTTTTAGATAGGACGCAAAGCCCATACTATAAGATTTTTAATTATCGTCGGCAAGGCGTATCCCCTTGGGGGTACACCTTGCCTTAATAGTCTATTTATAAAATCACATTACATAAATTTCTTATTTCCTTCGTAAATATTTTGTTTTATGTAATGTGATTTATTTACGCATAGATATATTGCCAGGCATGAATTTTGCATACTCTTTCCGCAGCTCAGTTTTCTGAGCATCAATAATGACACATTAAATTTTACGCCGTTTTGGGATAATTTTTGCTAGGAGTAATGGTTCTCCTAGCCGCTTTATTTCTGTTAAACAAAAGATATTTATTAATACATTGCATTAAAATTCCAAATAGTTACGCTCAGAAAAGGGTGGAGGCAAATTACCGCCAAAACAACGAAGCAAAGCAAGTTGACCCCACCCCAAGGAAAGGGATGCATGCAGAAAGTTTCAGAAAGTTTCGTAATACATTAATACAGGATCAGCGGTCTGCGCGACCGTATAAACGAACATGGGCAAAAAGGCACTTACAAAGCCCGTTAAAAGGCATAGATTATCGCCCTTGCTGATAATCTACACTTAACTGGTATTAGTTTAGCAGAGTCACAATATTACCGCGCCCAGAAGAAGCTTCTCCATCACCCTGTTATAAGCACTTTATTTCACCCCCGGAATGCAAACGATCGCCCTTGCTGACCATGTGCAAGCTGAGGAAGAAATAAAATAACCGCACAATTCGAGCAGAAAACTCCCCGCACGTTTTACGCTCGAAAATTCATCCAAACTATGTTGATAGGGAAGAAAAACGTATATATTTGAGGAATGCGTTCGATTTCCAACGCCCCATAGTTCGAATTTGGGCATCAGAGTGCCTGTGTTCAGCTGCGTGGGAAGCGGCGCCTATTCGAAATGAATGAGACTTATATTTGGAAGTATCGAGTCCACAGAAGATTGGCAAACTCGTCACACGAGACTGGAATGCCCAGTTGTGATAGAAAAATAGCTCCGGGCTGGGTACCTCGCAAAATCATGTACTCCTCTAATAAGCGAACAGGACAGCATGCCGTTTGCCTGTAAATTTCCAAACTAAAAGGTCTACTGTTATAATTGTGCTTGAAGTCCTCGAAAGTCAACCTTATGCCTGCAACCCGGCCATCATCGGGAGATATTTTGGAGAGTTGTCGCAATTGAAGGGGTTGGTTATTTGACTTCTTAGTTATTTCTCCAATTCTCAGGAACGCGAAAAATGCTAAAGAGCACATTGCCCGGAATTGACATATTTGGTACGGTGACCCAGCAATATGAGGCGCTGCCTCAATAAGACGATTGAGAATTGGTAAAGTTATAGGCAACCTACTATCTAAGCGGAAGCCTTTCTTACCATACCCCTTTAAGATTTGCGTTACGTAGAAAACTCTCGTTGGATCCGGTAGATCGGACATGCGATGAGTATAACCAAGTGCAGATACATAAGTGTTAACTGTTGAAGAGGCGTACTTGAGGTCAAATAAGTACGCTATGAATAACGCAACGACTGAGGGCGACAAAGGCAAAGTGAACGATCCCTCATTAAAAATTGCCACATGAAATTGCGTAAAAAGTGCCCATGCCCGTTTATAAGTCGGCACTGAAGAAGGTTGCAAGCTACTTTGAGCTAATTGAGAAACTATAGTCGCCAATTTTCCGGCAGCAGGTGAAAGGGAATAGGCGTTGGAGCTCGATGCATGTCGGCCGGCGCCAATTGTGAAAATTTTTGGAGCTCTAAACGAGACAAACAATCAGCTAGGACATTTTGTTTACCCGGTATATGCTTTGCTTTGAATAAAATATTGTATTCTAAACAAACTAAAACCATCCGGCGAACGAGTGTCATGATATAAGAATCCTTTGATGTTTGCTTATTAATAACAGACACCAAAGCTTCATTATCCGTGACATCGCTAGAAATCGCGGACATTTAAATCCCGATACATCCCTTAAGTCTATACTGGTTATTATCCCTTTCGATCCCCAGGCCTCCTTATTCTCATTTCAAAATGGCGTCCGCCGCACGAAGAGCTAATCCAGTTGATTATGTAAATTTGAACAATTTATCGTCGGAAGTTATGTATGAAAGCGGAAAGAAGCCAAAAGGAAAGTTTTTTCCAGTTGATAGACTTATTTCTCGAAAGCAAATTGATCATGTAAGTTTATTTATGCTAAATTTTATCCATTTCTAATTTGCATTTCATAATGTAGGTCTTCTACTGTTGTATAAATTCATTAAAATGTATGTTGACGGGCTAAAGATAGGCATACTTTTAAATCTATTTTAAAGACTTGGCATTATTTGGTAAAGTGGTCTGGATGGCCTTTGCCTGCATCAAGTTGGGAGCCCTACGATCATTTGAATCCAGCGCTTTTACGGTACGTACTGCTTTATTTAAATACGATACTGCCAAAAATGCATTTAGTTCTTCTCAGAAAGTACTTATACATAACATGCATCTACTCCAGAATTGCAATGCAAGTGGCAAAGAAAATTGCATCGTGTAACATAGCCTTAAAAAAAAGTTCTTTAAGCAACTATTTCTTATGTTGCTTACAAGGTGCACCTAATGTATTTTGATTTTATAAATCACAGAAAACTTTTAAAACACAAACAGCAATTATTTCAACATGGATGATCCAATGCTGTTTGCATGTAAAATTGTCAGCACAGACACAACTTTAATGTTTTTCGATAACAAGTTCTCTAATTTTGATGTTGTTTACCATTCAATAATACATGATTAACTGTACTAGTGCATTAATTCATGTAGCAAAATGCTTGCGTTCAGTAATGTATGTTGTCTTTTCTCTTCATGCATTTTTAGGAGCTATGAAAATCCATCAAAGCCAGATCAAGGCAGAATTGAGCAAGCTAGTAGAAGTTTTTATGATGCCATAGCAAGGGCTCTTAAAGCGAAATCTGCTACTCCTGTAGATGCTCAGATTGACCTTGATTTACAAAGATGGCTTTGGAAAGGAAAGGGAGTTCAATCTGAACATCTTGGTTATAAATTGTATGAGAAACATGAGTTTTGCAATTTGAATCTACAGGAAACATGGTGGTATTACCTTGATAGCAATGGCGAGGGCAGAGCAATAAACTTTCCAATTAAAATAAAACCTCTATTATTGTGGTCACCAAAACGTTACATTGTTCAAAATGGAGAACTGATTCAAGCAAAGAGAATGCCCATTGAGAAAGCTAAAATTCATTTCTCAAGACGAGCATGTAGTGCCGAGACACTTTAAAATATAGTTGTACACTTGTACTTGTACTTAGGTGCATGCAGCACCCAAAATGGTGCTTTTTAAAAGTTCCTTCAATTTGTCAAGCTTTCGTAGTTTTGTTTTTATTTTCATTTCTTTTAGTTTTTCTTTCACTTCACATAAACTCATGCTGTCTACATCCTGTGGGGTTAATTGATCTTGATCGTTCTCGTCTTCTCTTGGATCTACACAAAGACGCGGTTTTTTCTTCTCTGCTGAAATATTTCATTTGACCAATAGGTATTGTCTTGTTTCTTGTATTGGTGTGGGATTCGTTCAAAATTCTGAAGATTATCAATTCTTCGAAGCGCCAGTATTGCCTCTTTGCAAGCATCATGCCGGTTGCTTTTGTTATGATAAATTGCCCGAACCACATCATTAATCTTTTCAATTCCTTGCCCAGTAAATGATTTCAAAGATTTTTCATCTTTGATGAATCTGGGTACATGATAAAGCAATATGTGTATATATGGTGTTATTCTAGCCTTTTCATAGCCCATCACTTTTCCACCAAGAGACAGGAATAGCTCTACCCAGTTCTTGGCCTATGAAAAATCAATGAAAAAAAACACCTTCACTATTTACATGCACATATAAAATGTCTCAGTACAGTCACACACAACAGTTATTTTAGTACAATTAATATATTGTAAATGTAAGGTACCATAGTACCTGTACTATGCACAGGGTAAACCCTACTCATGTGAGTAACACAAGACAATGTATTACTTGCCTTCCCAAAAAATCCATCTATATCTGCCTCAGAAGGCTTCCATGATGATAGTATTCCATATAGTTCACGAAATTCCTAGGAAATGAATACAGTACATACATGTATATCAAGAAATAAGTTGTTGAGAAATATGTAATTTATGTACACACCTGCCATATTTCTGTAATTGTATCACAATGGTTTGGTTCGAGAATGTTTGGGAACTGTGCAGGCAGCTTTGCAAGAACTTTTTTCTTCTCATTGCCAACCATGCTTGTCCAGTCATGCATTCCACTGTCAGTCCCATCGGCGTTCTTCTTTTTCCATACACTAAAGCTTACACCACAGTTATTGATGGCTTCAACAACATTTTGTAGGTGTTTATTTTCCCTGTCTGATGGTGCTCTATTAAGGTTCTCTTCAACATCACGCTCAATTGCATCGTTTATTATGTTACGTTCTAAAATATCTGAAAAAGGAAAAGGAGTCATTACTGCCATGAAGAGTCAGCCCAAGGACATTCTCAATGTATTGTTGCCAGTTACAGTAACATGTGCAGTATGTTGTAGAATTCATTATCTGTCTGTGAGTTAGGAACAAAGAAGTCTACATTATGTTATGAGCCTGCGTTCCTTTTGGGCTGTTCCAGGAACGTCACCAGTTAATATCCACATACCAATTTACAATTGAATAGTGCCGTACCAGTTATCCTGAGAAGCAAATGAAGTTCGTCGATTCTGACATTCTGAATTGGGATACTGAGCAATGGCTTTCTGATGCAACCATAGTTCGATGAGGACTTGCAGGCCATGGTTCTGTTGCTACTAAGTGTTCTTGTATTCTTACTATTATGGTAGTAATCCTCTACTTTGATGTATCCCACCTGCATCAGCAAAGATGCTTTCAACCCATTAGTAAATAATAAATAACAAAGTAGATTGCATCAGAGTGCATTGAATCTATGTTTCAATGCATATACAGATAAGATTTATAAAATTTGCAAATACTGGTACGGTATGGTAATTTAAAATTAAGATACATGTATTGAACTAAATTTTGCTTGTACCTTTCATTTTTGTGGACCAAGCAGTAAATGCATGCATAATCAGATATTGCGTTGTTCATTCCAAGAACCAGAAGAAGAAACTTGGAGATATAGAAGAATGCATTATTTTTGTATGATATGTAGTTCATCCCAGAAAGGGTACAACTGCCAGTTCATGTACCGTAATAGACCTTATGCAGAATAACGTCACAAGGCGTTATGCCTGCTGAAAATTCTAGACTTAGTGTCATTCATAGTTTTGAATGTTTGATGTTTCCTGCTGTGTTGACTACTAAAACCAGAATTCCGTGCAGGCATCAAAGCTTGTGACATCATTATGCACAAGGTCTATTATTGATTTTGAAGTTAGGGTGAAAGCATGTTACTGAACCTTATAATCACCAGACAGATAAAATTCCAGAGGTATTTGATGGCCATCCACCTCAATTTCACCATGCTCAACCAGATCATTGATTTCAGCAAAGATTTCTCTGCAAGAAACTTTTAGTACGTCGTAATCCTCACTTCCGGAAACTATTCCCACAATATGGTTGCCTGTATGATGTGTACAATCAAGAATTACTGTACTGTAGGTTTTGAGACAAGAAAGAACTAATTCAAGATCTAAGGCCAATTATTCCAGTATATCTGTGTCTCAGATATTATTAACTGGACTGTTTTTATGCTTTCAAAAACTTGATAGTTTTTATGGATGGCATGGTCTTATCAAGAGCATTCTCTTACCTTTCCAAGACATTACTTTTTCTTCATCAGAAAGGAGAGCAAATGACAGCACAATAAAATTAGCTATGCGGGACATTTTTGCACCATCACCTGCAATCCTGATCTTTTGCTTTCCAACATCTCCAAGCTGTATCTACAAAGTTGATAAAAATAGTACATATATTTATCATTACAATCTATAAAATAACTAAATTTAGGCCTCACCAAAGCAAGTGCACATGTTTCTGGCAAGAAATGGTGGTAGGAAATATTACCTTCTTTCTAATTTGTTCCCTTAGTTCTTCTTTAAAACTCATCTGAGCCCCTGGGTGTTTTCCTGGTGTGCGAGTGATATGACTGATTGAATTTAGTGTGTTTCTACACTGCTTAATTAAATAGCTCCTTGGGAGACCATCAACCAGCATTGACATTTCATGATAAGCTGTATCGCCCACACAACACTTATCCATAATATATAGTAGAGCTCTAATAGTTGTCTTATCATTCTCTGGTAACTGTTGAAAATTAGTCTTACTACTGCAACCATTCTCACAATAGTTCATTTCTGTTACTTTGCCATCCAGATCTTCAATCTTGATAGAGTCCAATTTAAACCCAAACGATTCCATGAACCAAAGTGCTTGCTCACTTCTCGACTTCAGCTCCTTTACTTTTCTTCTCTTTTGTCGTTCCCAACTTTGCCAACTGGTTTCCCTGTGTTCTCCAGATTTGAACTACAGCTACTACACACAGTTGTTTCTTCAATAAAGTCCAGGTATTCTTTTAGCTCTTGGTTCTCCAGTAAGGCATGATCTCTCTCCATTTCAACAGTTTTTGTCTTGTCTTTCTCCTTTAAAAGATCTTGCAAAAGTTCATCACATCTGCTGTCGACATCCTGGAGTTGTTGTCGAAGATTGTTGTTTTCTTCTTCCAACTTTTCAAAGTCTTTCTGAAGACTGCTGACATTCAGTAACTCATCAAAAAAAACATGAAATGATTTTGTCTTCTCAAGAAAGTTTTTCCTGGTCAGGCCTCTTAGTCCTCTACTTTTGGTGTATGCTTGACATGCCATAACCCTTATACTTTCGTCAATTCTGCTCACACCAGGTTTGATTTTAATCGGTAATTTGGACGCACTCAGAGCCAGTAACTCTTGGTAGGAGATGTCTGGAAATTTGATTTTTAATTCCCGCCATTTAACAAAACTTTTATCGAAATTTTAGAACAACACATTTCCCTGACCTTTGATATCCAACGTAGCGTAAGCAAGAATAATCCTCACTAAGCTGTATTTCATATTTAAGTTTTAGTTGCTCCTGCCAAGTAAGGTTGTCTGACATTGTCTTTTTATATATAGTACAGCAAAATACAGTAGAACAAGTAAATAAATAGCAATACTCGCAATAATCGCATATTCTACTTTTGACAAATGTGTTCGGCTCAGTGCACGGAGCAATATCAGTGGTATATAAACAAAGTTTCCTCAACGGGGAGTTACCGCTGACTAAAAGGATTGCCAGATGTAAACAAAGTACAAGAAAAGAGCTATCAAATGATATATTTTGAGCAATTTTTTGTGTGAAAAGTCATTGTCAAAGTGCAAGATTAGTATATGATGATTGTATCAAATAAATGTACCTTCGATTTTATGCAAACTACTTGGAATTAAACAAATAATCATTGCCGCCACAGATTAAGGTATGCGAACAATTGTTTTGGCTACTAATATGTGTATATTTTTATATTTCACCCCACATTTTTAACTTCATCGATCATTAGACCGTGGCATAACTTTGTAAAAGGTGGATTTTTGCCATTTCGGAAAATTAGTTACAAATCCTGCCTGTACAGTTATTCCGTTGTTGCCCAGTTTTACGTATAGTAAATAATCATGACATTTTATGATTGGTTTTAATTATTTTTCTTATTTGCTTGATTAGTTCACGGAATTTGTTTCAGCAGTGCACAATTTTAATTTGTTATGATTCTTTACCGATATTTGATGTAAAATTTGTATAACCATCTACATTCCTTATTAAATTTGAATGCATGAGTGGACAGGGGGACTGGGCCGAAAATGCACTCTGTATTCAAAATGTCCGCGATTTCTAGCGATGGAAACAAAATACAATGATTGCGCATCTTTGATCCCCATAAACACAGGCTGAGGACAATCGGATATAGCTCTAGAACGGCAATATTGTAACTCCGCCAGTCAGTTGGCCATGCGCCATAGCACCAGTCGCAACCAAACAGGGCCCCAAAACCAATACTACCGAAGCGTCAGTATAAATTCAAATGGGAGTTATTACGCCAATGGTTGTGCAAAAAGAATGATTTGCCGTTGAAATTCGACAGAACCGTTTGCCAGACACGAAGATCATGTTTCACACTTTGCGTTAAGCGAATAAAGAAATGAGGGTGTGAAATGCCATGCGTTAGATCAATTAAGCGTCGCAGGAATGCGCGACCTGGCATAATGACGGAACATGCGAAATTAAGTAATCCAATTAAGGACTGAAGTTCTTTGAGTGTAACCTTTTTACGAATTAAAAAGCGTGCGATAGATTGAACACATTTCTCGATTTTATCCATCGGCAATCGGGCCTGGAATTGTATTGTATCTAATTCAATCCCAGCGAACGTTAAGGTTGTTGAGGGACCCATGGTTTTTCCCGGTGCTATAGGCACGCCAATGAAATCACAAAGAGCAATAAATACTTGTAAGTTTGTTTTACAAGCAGAATAATCCGGTGCAACAAACAGGAAGTCGTCGAGCAAATGAAGGAGTTTGCCGATGTTAAGCCTTTCCCTAGCGATCCATTCGATAGCCGTACTAAAAATCTCAAAAGTGCGACACGAACTGGAGCAACCAATTGGCATTGCCCGGTCGTAATAATACAAACTCCGCCATTTTATGCCAAAGAGGTGATAATCCGCTGGGCTGATAGGAATGATTCGAAAAGCATTTTTTATATCTGTTTTCGCCAGGAAACAACCCCGGCCCGCTTTTTAATAAGTTGAATAGCGTCGTCAACGATAGCGTACCGCACAGATGTTTCGAAATCGGGTATACCATCATTAACCGATGCTCCCTTTGGAAACGATAAATGATGAATCATGCGAAAATCACCCGGTTGTTTTTTAGGAACCAGGCCCAAAGGCGAAACACGAAAATTTGGAAAAGGCGGATAATTAAATGGCCCCGCAAGGCGAGATGCCTCTAACTCTTTCGTTAATTTTTGGTCAACCGCTTCTGGTTTGTCAAGAGCAGACCGTAAATTTATTGCTTCAAACGACTGTTCTGTGCCAGAGAAATGAATGCGAAAACCCGAAGTAAATCCGGAAATTAGTGTATCAACAATACTTGGATTATAACCTTCTAACAATATTTGTAAATTATGAAGTTTTACGGGTGTTGCCAACGGACGTTGTTGAAATAGGCCTAGGCGATCGATCAGTGGGAGATGGTCTGTTGTTGGCACGAAAATTACAATTCACGGCACGGTGCGATCCGTTGCATTTAAAACAAATGTGCTTGAAATCACAACCGGCACAAAACGTTCCGCGATAAAACTTAAAACAATATCCCCGAGGAACAGACACTTTTGAAGGGTGGCGCGTATGATTGCTGCCTTGCGTGTTCGGCTTAGAAGTAGTGGGATATTGACATTTCAACCATAACTCTCAGTGAACAGTCGCCCTGGGAACGCGCGTGGCCTGTGTTTGGCGCAAAAATCGAAAATTCTCATCGTAGTAAAACCAATTATGACCCCTATTGGCCAAATCCTGGATGATTTGACAATATTTCATGAGCGCGGGGGACTCATGGGGGTACCGTTGTGTATAAATGGAAACAAAAATATGAAACGAACGAAGCCAATCGCTAATAGTTTTGACCCTTTTGGATTTCGCAGTCGGCTCAAGGAGAAGAGAAGCAGGTTGACCGTTGTCAGAGGAACGTACACTAATCTCGTATTTAGCGGCCGCGTCTGGGCCACCTGACAAAGTACTTATATCGACAAACTCCTCATTCCATATTTTAAGCTTTATTTTATCCGGAATCCGCGAATCAAGAGGCAAAGCGGCAGAGTGGAACGATTCCCGTGGACCCGAGGCACTTGAACATTGAAGAGAAAAAGGAGTGGTCTGACCTGTAAGGTTTTCTTGTATAGACGTGAGCGCGTCGTTGACCAGAGAATCTGCATTGGGACCCTGGTTTGAGATTTCGATACCGGAGGTAGAATCCGTTGGGCAGACGCCATTGTGGATGTGGAAGACGCAGAGGTTGGTAAGAAACCAGCTAGCTTTTGCGTGACTGCCTCAGTAACCGAAGACACCAGCGTTGAGATAAGCTCACTCGAAAGAGAGGGCAAAGTCACTTGACTCACGGGCACAGTTGACGTTGACGGGGCGGCACCAACAGATACAGCATTGGACGAACTTCGAGTTCGACGAGATGTTGTTGATTGGTTCTGAACAGACTCTCGCAAAAACGGCTAATGGAGCGGCGACACGCTTAGAACGACGTACGGGTGGCATTCTAAGAAATAAAACTTTAAAAGCAGAAATAGATACTTATTGCCTAATGAGTTTTTAGATAGTAAAGCAACCGCACCCAAATTTTGTCGTTGTGCGAGAAATAAAACTATCCCCCGTAATGGCGAACATTCAATAGTGAGGATTCGTCCGTTATTTGTCGTAATTGAAAATTGGAACTTGTGAAAGCATGATTAGAAAATCAAACGTCAGCAGGATGAACATGGCAGATCCGAAGACCGCCGCACCGTTCACCCTGTGGCCAACAAAACTCACAAAAAGTGTGAGAACTCTCATACAGATGAGAGATAAAGACAAAATCAAACGTCAGCAGGATGAACATGGCAGATCCGAAGATCGCCGCACCATTCACCCTATGGCC